CCAATTTTACAATCTTTCTTGCCACAATTGCTAAGTGACTCATTGTAGTTGTTCAGTTAGTAATACAGTTGTTAAGTGAATCATTGCAGTTGTTAAGTTAGTAATACAGTTGTTAAGTGACTCATTGTAGTTGTTCAGTTAGTAATACAGTTGTTAAGTGAATCATTGCAGTTGTTAAGTTAGTAATACAGTTGTTAAGTGACTCATTGTAGTTGTTCAGTTAGTAATACAGTTGTTAAGTGAAACATTGCAGTTGTTAAGTTAGTAATACAGTTGTTAAGTGACTCATTGTAGTTGTTCAGTTAGTAATACAGTTGTTAAGTGAAACATTGCAGTTGTTAAGTTAGTAATACAGTTGTTAAGTGGCTTCTCCATTGGCTTTGTTTGTGAAAATGTTGTAAAAGGTGATGCTGTTACCCCAGGACACTGCAACCGTCATAAATATGAGATAATTGCCCATCATCTGCATTTTGATCACAAGGGATGCTGCAGCTTTTGTAAGTGTGAACAGCCATAAGTCCCTTTTTTCAATGTCGTTGTAACTTTGAACGGTCATTAAATGAACCTTTGTAAGTTGAGGACTACCTGTATAGCAAATTGTTTAAACTCCCCCCCACCCAAAAAAGCATATAAGTGTGCTTCTTTCCCCTCTCCTCCTTGTTAGCATGGTGTCAACCTGCAAAACGACTTCAACTGAAGCCATACTTTCTGCTTCATTTCTTGGTTGCCATTCAAGGGGAGAGGGGAGCATGGGGTGGGGGGGCGGAATTTAGGAATGTGGTGTCTTGGCTGGCTAGCCATAACACCGATAACATCTATAACCGTGATGGCGAACCTATGGCACGCATGTCAGAGATGGCACGCAGAGCCCTCTCTGTGGGTGGCCACGCTGTTCCCAGTTGCTCTTACAGGTTCCATCACGCACACGTGCGCCATCCAGTTGGTCTGCCATTCATGCACACTGGCCAGCTGCTCTCTTCCAGGTTCCGGCACATGCATGCATGCATGCATGCTAGCCAACTGATCTTTGCGCATGCATGTGCTGGAACCCAAAAGAGAGCAAATGTGTGGTGGCATGCCTGCAACGGAACTCGGAAGAGCAGCTGGCCGCTGCACACATGCACACCGCCCAGATGCTATCTTCTGGGTTCTGGCGCTCCAGCGGTCCAGCGTGCGCACTCCACTTTTGCCACTCAGTGCCAAAAAGGTTAACCATCACTGATCTATAACATCATAACAACTCCCATAAGAACCAAGGTCATGTCAACGGACACCTATTGAAGTTGAGTGGGAGCCTACATCTGGACCAGTGGTGGGATTCAAAAATTTTTACTACAGGTTCTGTGGGTGTGGCTTGGTGAGCATGGCAGGGGAAGGATACTGTACAATCCCTATTTCCCCCCAATCAGCTGGGACTCGGGAGGCAGAGAATAGATGGGGGCGGGGCCAGTCAGAGGTGGTATTTACTGGTTCTCCACACTACTCAAAATGTCCACTACCGGTTCTCCCGAAGTGGTCAGAACCTGCTGAATACCACCGCTGATCTGGACTGATTAGCCCATGTGACCTAAGANGCAGGCGCTGTATGCGTCCTGCGCATGCGTGGAAGCGCAGAATTCGTCAAAATCAGGTAAGGAGCGGGCGCGGGCGCGGGTGGGCGTGGGTGGGCCCTTCGCCGTTCCCAGAAGTTACTTACTTCCGGGTTCGGCGACCAACCGGTTCGCAGGGACCGCCGCGAACCGGTTGAAACCCACCCCTGCCACAACGGCTGCATTCGGACAATGGTGCAAAACTAAAATCGAGCTGGTTTGGCTTGATTTTGACTTGGTGTTTGAACTCAATCACTGGCTTTGCAAAATACGACTGCTGACCGAGGGTGATGTCACCGAGGTTGACCAGATCTGAATACCAAAGTTATGAATAGTAAAACTGCTTTTAATATATACAATATTTAATTATTGCTGTACAAGATTTACAGATTACAGTAACAGAATCTTGCAAATTGGATGGGCTTCCTTGCTCTTTATTTATTTATTTATATCCCGCCTTTATTATTATTATTATAAATAATGTGAGGCCGAGAACATACCTAATACTCCTTCTTCTCCCTACAACAACAACCCTGCGAGGTGAATTGGGCTAAGAGAATATCTGGGCTAGAGTCACCCAGTTACCTTTCATGGCTAAAGCAGAACTGGAACTCACAGTGTCCTAGTGATTGGCCCAAAGTCACCCAGTCCAAAGTCACCAAGTTTCATGTCTAAAGTAGAACTAGAACTCACAGCCTTCTAGTGATTGGTTCAAATTCACCGAACTGGCCTTCATGGCTAAGGCAGGACTAGAATTCCCAATCTCCTGGTGATTGGCCCAAAGTCACCCAGCCAGATTTCATGTCTAAAGTAGAACTAGAACTCACAGCCTTCTGGTGATTGGTTCAAATTCACCGAACTGGCCTTCATGGCTAAGGCAGGACTAGAATTCTCAATCTCCTGGTGATTGGCCCAAAGTCACCCAGCCAACTTTCAGCAGAACTAGAATTTGCAGTCTTCTGGTGATTGGCTCAAAGTTACCGAGCCGGTTTTGATGGCTAAGATAGGACTGGAAGTCAGGCTCCCAGTTTCCAGCTGGATGCTTTAACCACTAGGCCAAACTAGCTCTTTTCCCTTCATCTTCTCTAGAACCTGGGGAAGGTCACCCATGAGATGCTTTCTCAAATTGCATTCTTGCTTTGGACTTGGATGTCCCTTGTCTGACCATGTCGGATCAATGGTGATGTAATGAACAATTGATACATATATGATTTGAAATACTGAACCATTATATGGGTTAATAATTAATAATGGAAAATTATTGTTGGAACTCTGGATGATTGGTGACATTATGGTCAATTGAAAATATGAATGTATACTATAAATTAATGGGAATTCTTTGTTCTAATCTTCGCTTTTTCTCAGAGATAGGTGATACTATAATACAGTGGTTCCCAGAGCTGGCTGGAGAATTCTGGGAGTTGAATTCCACAAGTCTTAAAGTTGCCAAGTTTGGGAACCACTGCAGTATAATACCTTAAAGACTCACTGTTATTTGATAGATAATTATGAATTCCCATTAATTTATAATATACATTCATATTTTCAATTGACCATAATGTCACCAATCATCCAGAGTTCCAACAATAATTTTCCAGTATT